GTCAGGGAGGTAGAATAAAGTGTGTGTACTGGACAGGTACAGTCGTGGATATTGTTTATAAGGCACAGGTACAGTCATGGATGTAGAGTAAGATGTGTATACTGCACAGGTACAGTCTTGGATGTTGTTTATAAGGCACAGGTACAGTCATCGATGTAGAATAGAGTGTGTGTACTGGATAGGTACAGTCGTGGATGCTGTTTATAATGCACAGGTACAGTCATGGATGTAGAATAAAGTGTGTGTACTGGACAGGTACAGTCATGGACGTTGTTTATAAGGCACAGGTACAGTCATGGATGTTGTTTATAAGGTACAGGTACAGTCGTGGATGTTGTTTATAAGGCACAGATACAGTCGTGGATGTTGTTTATAAGGCACAGGTACAGTCATGGATGTAAAATAAAGTGTGTGTACTGGACAGGTACAGTCATGGATGTTGTTTATAAGGCACAGGTACAGTCAGGGACGTTGTTTATAAGGCACAGGTACAGTCAGGGATGTTGTTTATAAGGCATGGGTACAGTCATGGATGTTGTTTATAAGCACTGGTACAGTCATGGATGTAGAATAAAGTGTGTGTACTGGACAGGTACAGTCATGGATGTTGTTTATAATGCACAGGTACAGTCATGGATGTAGAGTAAGATGTGTATACTGCACAGGTACAGTCTTGGATGTTGTTTATAAGGCACAGGTACAGTCATCGATGTAGAATAAAATGTGTGTACTGGATAGGTACAGTCGTGGATGCTGTTTATAATGCACAGGTACAGTCATGGATGTAGAATAAAGTGTGTGTACTGGACAGGTACAGTCATGGACATTGTTTATAAGGCAGAGGTACAGTCATGGATGTTGTTTATAAGGTACAGGTACAGTCGTGGATGTTGTTTATAAGGCACAGATACAGTCGTGGATGTTGTTTATAAGGCACAGGTACAGTCATGGATGTAAAATAAAGTGTGTGTACTGGACAGGTACAGTCATGGATGTTGTTTATAAGGCACAGGTACAGTCAGGGACGTTGTTTATAAGGCACAGGTACAGTCAGGGATGTTGTTTATAAGGCATGGGTACAGTCATGGATGTTGTTTATAAGCACTGGTACAGTCATGGATGTAGAATAAAGTGTGTGTACTGGACAGGTACAGTCATGGATGTTGTTTATAATGCACAGGTACAGTCATGGATGTAGAATAAAGTGTGTGTACTGGACAGGTACAGTCATGGATGTTGTTTATAAGCACAGGTACAGTCATGGATGTAGAATAAAGTGTGTGTACTGGACAGGTACAGTCGTGGATGTTGTCAATCAGGCACCGGTACAGTCATGGTGTAAAATTTCTAGAGTTGTCTGGACAGTACAGCAGAATCTTAGAGAGGTGGATCTAATAAAAAATATATACTTATACAAATATTTTTTTCGGATGTTATCGATAATTATAGGATTAATTTCCTTTAATATGAGCAATTATTTTAATACCATACCCTACATATTCCAGGTATCACACCACGGTTATCGACCAGTCAAGATGTTAATTGTTTCATGCATATGAAATTAATTTTTATTTCTTTTGAGAATTTTTTTTTTTTTTGGGGGGGGGGGGGGGGGTCTTCCAGCCTATTTTTACAACTTTGATACCTGTGCCTAGTAAATTTTATGTACTTTGTAAATAAATAATTTTTTTTGTCAAGAACTATTCTTTTTCAGGGCATAGGAGGCTACTTCCTGGGGTGCACTTGAGATGTTTATATATAACACATTGAAAACGGGTGGATCAGCCCATTCCACCCGTAAATCATTGACACCTCTTGCGTGATCAATGAAATGGGTGAAATTAATAATATTGTGACGTACTTATACTTTCTAACATAAAATTAAAAATTACAAATTAATTCCAATATGTATTTTAATTTCCTTTTTTATTTTACTTTGTTTATTGTTTACTCGTATATTTTCTATAATTATACTAGCATGTTTCATTTTAAATTCATCATTGTTATTGAGTATGTAGGATATTGAAATCATGCCCCCCCCCCCCCCCCCCCGAAAAATAAAATTAAAGACCTGGCTCATATTGTACTCTGAACATAAAGCTTTTAATTTAAATCTGTAAAAGTTTTGGATCCTTCCCTAATCACTGCTGACATCGTTTGTCTCGGTATCACTGTCATGGGTAATATAAAGATTAGCGTTAATTGCGCTTTGATTGAATTCAGTCTAAATCTAAATCGGAGAAAATCCACAGAATTTTTTGTCGTGGATGTTATTAATCAAGCGCGGGTTAAGTTAATCAAGCGCGGGTTGAGTCAGTGGTAGTGTGTATGTACGGCACAGGTACAGCCGCAGATGTTGTATATCAGGCACAGGTATACAGTCATAGATATACAAAATGTACGCTGTAGTAAATGTTACTTTTTAGAGATAATAGCGATCTATGCAATGGATTTAGGCATAGTCAAGCTTACAAATATATTTTCCGCGATATATTCACTAAGCTAGTTATCGTTACCGTTTTGGCGATTACAGCCTTCCATAAACTAGATTAATTATTAACACATTAAAAAAACAATCCATACTTAATTAACAACATACAGTTTAATACGTTGAACAATCCGGAAAGTCTTGCTCTGACATTCCGTTTTTGATATTAGTGAGCAGGTACAGTCATGGATGTCCGGTACCAGCATTGCCGAGTACAGTTGCGGATGTTAGCTGACAGCCACTGTTGGTTTACGCACTTCCTTCATCAATATTCATGAATAGGCTGGATTCGTAATTGCAGATCTTGCTTAATTGTTTTGTAATTACAACGACTTATTTAGTAAAACTTTGTGGAAAGTAATTATTTTTTAATACACATCATTTTTCTCAAATCATCTAATCATTTTGTTTCACATAAAAAATCGCGTTTATATAGCGTGTATATCTTTAAGCTTGAATACTGTTCGTTTATCTTCATATTTCATGTGACATATGAAAGCCCTAGCATCAACCGTTCAAAAGTTTTGGCCAAGGTTAAAATTTGATAAAATTTTGCAAAAAAAGCTCAAACTCCCGGGTCAAGAAGTCAAACATGTTGGTACCCAAAGAAAGGTCTTGGCACAAGGAATATATAATCATGTGAAATATGAAAGCCCTAGCACCAACCATTCAAAAGTTATGGACAATGATAAAGTTTTTGTGGACAAACAGATTAACAGACACACAGACGGACGGACAGACCAAAAACTAAAAGACTCCGAATTCGATTATGTAGGCATAAAAATTTCCAATAGAAGTACATAATAATGATTTGTAAACTGTAAATTAATGATAAATAACATTAAAAAAAATTTTAAACCTCATTTTGAAGAGTTCAAATTAATTTATTTTTACATACATTTCTTTTACAAACTTAGGACAAAAAAATTAAAGACTAGAGTATCTAGTAATACCTATTTAAGAACATGGTGAGTCCAAAGAAATTTATAACTGATGTTTCAAAAGAGTTCAATGGATTTCAGAGTTGTTTTTTTTTTTTTTTTTTTTTTTTTGGTTTTTGGTTTTTGGTTTTTTTTTTTTGGTTTTTTTTTTTTACGGAAAAGCACTGAAAACAAATCTTTAAAGCACTTAAAATTTACTCAGCTTGACAATACAGTTTGTTTTGTTCTTTTTAAAACACATTTTGTATCTTTCTCCACATATTTCACAGCAACATTTGAAAAGAAAAAAAGTCAATGTTTGTATTATTTATCCTTTTTGAAATCTCCGATTCCAATTTTATGGCCACGATAAATGATTTCATTAATATACATTTTCTTATATCGGATAAAGTGAAGGCAGATGGACAAATTTTGGCATTGACTAAAATCCTATTTTTATTAATTCTTGTGGCGGATCTCAGATCTGTTGATTACTATCATATATACTTTAATTAGAAATGAGAATCACTTGTTAGCATTAGATGTGCGTTATTATTGATAAATTGTGTAAAATTACATTTAAGTTTATGTTTAATCAATATTTGCTGTCCATTTTATAGATGGGGTTGCTTTTGATTTATCAAAGGGAATTAAAAATGCTTTTGTTTTAATGCTGAAATTCTTCAAAGTAATAAAAAGTTATTTTCAGCGCCCTGTTATTTTATACTGCACGTGCGAAACCTAATTTTTCTTCTTTTTTTTTTTCATGTCCCTCATTTCCGTGTAGAATTACAAGTATCCTGCCTTTGCTCACTGCAGTGAACTTTTTGAAGCGAGGTAATTTTTATTTTTTTTATTTTTATTTTTAATTATCATGAACAAAAACCTCATGAAAACTTATAATGTGGCTTGTGAATTTTCACCCGGGAAATTCGCTAGAATTCTTGATTAGATAGAAAAAAATTTGACAAGAAGCTTCTTTAGACAGGAAAAAAAATCTGTCTTGGACTCATTTGGCCAACGAATAATTCCGTATTTAGATAAGATTCCTAGTTAACGAATGAACTCCAGTAGGCATGTTCATGAAACTTTCCTAAGATATGTCCTAAGATTTTTCCTAAGATATGACTTAGTCCTAAAATACATGTAGCTTCGTGAACATGCCTGCAGATGTGGATATAGAAGAAGGAATGTTTTTTACTTTTCATTCATATACGTATAGTATCGTATTTAGAGCTGGAAACTTTATCAACTTTATATGTACAAATTAGCCTTTGATGCAAAATTTTGATTGGTGTTGTTAAAAGAAATTTAAACAATAAAAGAGAATTATAATTGTATTTCTTCTCATTATAAAACGCAGACATGTTTAGAAATTTTAGAGTTCGCCTTGTAGTAATTTTAATGGTGGTAAATGACTGTTCTACATGTTTTGTTCAGTGGAGTGTAATTTCAAAATCGGAGATTTCTAACATAATAGTGAATCTATGTAGAGTTTAAAATGCAACGGTCGAGCGACGAGTGTCGTGTTATTTAAAAGTGTTATTTAAAAGTTTATTTACCAGCTGAAACAGATAAAGGCCTTTTGTCAAGTTTCTTTTCGAAAGAACTAGTTTTAAGGGACCTACATGTGTCTAATATGGTGAGTTTATTTAAGTTTGTTTCATTCATTGTAAAACAAAGTCTTAATGAAAGATAGTCGAGATTTATCTTGGAAATGTATTCTTCTTTCTAGGTAGACCAGTTATCTGCAGAAATAAAGAAAGGTAGGTTTCTCACATTTAAATTATATTTCAAAACACATCCATTACGTAGTTACAAAATTTTTCATTAAATAAAATACGTTGACGTAATATACAGTAGTATTATACAAATAATATCTTCAAATTCTTGTAACGTATTACGTTACATATCACTGGTTATGAGAATCAAAGAGAGACAACTCCCGCTGAAATCATGTGCATATATCGTATACATGTTGGGTCACAATAAAGGTCCATTGATCTATAGTAAGAGAGATAACTTTTAACTTGGCTAAATGATTACTTTTTTAAATGCAATTGTGAATTTAAATGAATCATATCCGTCAAATTTTGCCCCGCAAAGTATGTTGAAAATGTGTGCATATTAGTTAAGTATTTTAGAGTTCTTTTGGAAAATAACATATGAGAGAACTGAGGGTTGATGAAACTTAAAAGGGGGGAGGGGCTAAAATTGTTAAAGTCATGATAAATCATAATTCTGTCTTTAAAAAGAAAATTGAATAATAGGAGAAAGGTATGTAAATAAAATGTTTATTTTTATGTTCTTTCAATACAAGAGCGTCTTGGGGCTTGACTTACAGGCTTTTTTTTTCTACGTCATAGTTCTCATCATTAATCATGACAACTAGATTTAGTGAAAGTGTGCTCTAAGAAGGGTTCATTTCATTTTTGCCTTGTACAATCTCTAGAAAACAGGAGATTCCGGCTGTTTCACCCATTGCCCTCCCCCTTTCAAGGCGGCTTCTGACTCCCAATTCCTAGATTCGTCCCTAATTGTATATGTTAAATTAACTTGACTATGTATTAGTGCAGATTTATCCCAACATTTTGTTGATACTTTTGATGTACAATATTGTTTGCGCAAACCTATTAATCATATGTACAATAAAAACATTGGTTAGCAAATTAGAAGTGCATGTGTGTGTGTTTAGCGAGGAGAAGCGGGGGTAGGGGTTACTCGTATGTTGATCATTGTATTTTTATGCAAATGCAGAAACTCTCCATTTTATTGTTGAATAGAGAGAGAGAGAGAGAGAGAGAGAGAGAGAGAGAGAGAGAGAGAATTTTATTTTTGCTGGTCTGCAATGCACATGATTTGTAAAACAGTATGAAATCTTAATTGTCAAGAAACCCCCTTCCCGCTATATTTACACCTGCCAGTAAAAATAGATTTTTTCTTAATTTCAGGCACGTGCCCATCAAAAAGCAAAAGCAAACTGATACACTGATCAACGAAATACCCCCCCCCCCCCATACACACACACACACACACACACACACGTGAGCACGCACGTTTCTAATTTGCAATACCTATGGTTTGGATATCAACTGATTTTAAATGGCTAATGAAATCAATATATGATGAAATCAGATCTAATGAAAGAATTAGCATATGTTTATTTTTCCTTTTGTTTTATTTTTTCCATTTATTTTCTTCATCCACCACTCAATTGAAATTTTTTCTCAACCTGAGTGACTTAAAGTGTGTTATTACATTTTGCGTTTTTGCATTTTGCTTAATCTCGACGCAAAATGTAACAACGCAAAATGCAATAATACGAAAATCGTGTTATTACATTTTGCGTTGATCTCGACGCAAAATGTAATAACGCAAAATGTAATAATCCTAAAAAGTCTGTTTTTACATTTTGCGTTATTACATTCTGTGTTGATATCGACGCAAAATGTAACAACGCAAAATGCAATAATACGAAAATCGTGTAATTACATTTTGCGTTGATCTCGACGCAAAATGTAATAACGCAAAATGTAATAATCCTAAAAAGTCTGTTTTTACATTTTGCGTTATTACATTCTGTGTTGATATCGACGCAAAATGTAATAACGCAAAATGCAATAATCCCGGTTTATTACATTTTGCCTTGTTATTACATTTCGTGTTGTAACAAGTGTTTCATAATTACAATCATACCTGTTATAACACATTCTATATACTTGCTATTTATTTATTATGCTCACTGTCATTTTGTTATAACTTATAATACCGATATATGTTTAGTTATTACTATGTAATCTGATGTGTTGTATGACACAAAGAAATAGAAGAAAAAACTTGAACTAAATGTAAATTGAATGTAAAATCATTATCAAAGAATGGTTCATATGCTTGGATTTTGTTGCCCTTTTTCTGATTTTCTTACATTGTTACATATGGAATCGAATCCTTTTTAGCCTCTTCCTAATTTTCTAATATGTACAGGAGATATAGACGTGTTTCACAATACCATTTGAAGTAAAACGGGAAATATTACATAATTGCTATAAATAGTACAAGAAAGTTTCCATGGTATTCCACTAGCGCGCAAAATACTAGTATGTGCTCTTGTAAATACCCCTTAAAATGTGCGACTGAAATGTTTGAAAGTTTGAGTCACGTAATGCTTTTAATTGGGGTTTTCATGTTTTGTAGATTTCAAGGAAACCTTTAACCTTTTTGACAAGGATGGGGATGGTACTATTTCCACCAGCGAATTAGCAGTAGTGATGAGGTCTCTGGGTCAGAATCCATCAGATGATGACATAGTCAATATGCTTAAGGGTGTGGATGAGGATGGTGCGGGATTTTTTTTTCTTTTGTTACTCCATATCTTATCTTTTGAATTGCAAACATAGTAAACCAATTTTTTTAAACAATGTATTAAAGATAAACATTTATAAACCTGACAGTTTTCTTCTCGTTTAAAAATAAAAATCGGCAAAGTTCTGCATAATGCATTGTTCTGCCAAATAGTTAAGTTTCTTAACTCAGGTAAATGTAGCTTAACGTTGCGTCTACATTTGGCTAAAATCTATTACGGGTAATTTAGTAAATGGAATTGAAATGACAACTTGTGAAATGCATAGACCATTTATTATGGATGCTTGTACCTGAAATTTTTCTCTCAGATTAATTGGATTAAGGTATGGAATCTTTTTCTTTTTTTTTTGACAGGGAATGGTTCAATTGACTTTGAAGAATTTGTTTTAATGATGGCGAGAAAACTGGAGAAATCGAACACAGAAGACGAAATACGAGAAGCATTTACACTTTTTGATAAGGATTGCAACGGCTATATAACTGTATCAGAATTAAGAAACATTTTAACAGAAACAGGTCAAAAAATTCGACCGGAAGAGGCAGATGAATTAATTAAATCAATTGACAAGGATGGTGATGGAAAAGTAGACTACGAAGGTATCATTTTAACATACTTTTAATACATCAAAGAGAATTGAAACGTGTTATATAATATAATAAAGTGTTAAATATTTATAAGGTGACTACAATATGTTGAAATTTGATCACCAGGAAATAAGAAATTCACTTAATTTCCAATACAGCGGATGCTATTTTATTTTTTTCAGAGTTTTGCAGAATGATGTCGGGGAAGTGATTTCTTGTATGAAATACTCAAAGTGATACAGAAAAGACTTTATAATTTATACAGTGATATAAACATCTGTCAAAATTTCAAGTATCACTTTAGTTTTCTATGAATAAACATTGTCCAGATAAATTACCATTTTAATCCTGTAAACGAACAATATATAAGAATGTTGTATACAACGTTGAGAGGGAAATCTAAGATTTGTACATGAGTGGATTTATCTTTCTTATTGTGAACAAAGACGTTTGTGATTAAGAAGTAGAAGCTATTGACAGGGATGACCATTAGTTTGTGATTAAGAAGTAGAGGCTATTGACAGGGATGACCATTTTACCCTTACTCCACTTGTCGCTAACGTTTTTTTTTTAATTCTTCTGTTTTTGTCTTTAAACCAGTTGGCCAATGGTTCTAAAGGTAGTGCAAACTAAGTATTTAAGAAAAGACTTTAGTGCAAAAACCGAAACATTAATGGTTGTTGTATATCTCAGGATGCAACATATATGGTAAAGTTTGGTCTTTGTTGTGCTTTTGAGTCACTTGAGATTGGACATGCTTAAATGAACCTAGGGAAAATATAGTTACCATACAGCATCCGAAGTGCTTCTAACGAACCTGAGATGCAACATTTATGCAGATTTGATCAGTGAAGAATTTGTAAAAGATGCAACATTTTTGTAGATTTGATCAGTGTAGAATTTGTAAAGATTTTGGAGTTGACATGCAGCTTACAAAGCAAAGTATCCATCTTAGTGATTCAACCGTGCAAATTGGTTAATGTAAAATTTATATCCACTTGGATTTTCACCGTTTAAGAGATCCAGCTTGATCATTTATCTTAAAAATATAGACTCATATACAGCATCCTAAACATGATTTGAATGCATGCTTAATGCCATCAACCATGCAAGATTTCAAAACATGACTTACAATTAAATGTGATAGACTTGCTAAAAACATCTACTTCGTTACTCATCCAGAAAATACTATTACACTGTAATAGTCGCATATATCACAGGTAGTTATCATACCAACTACGGGTGGCTGATGAAAACTTAAAGTGAATTCTTCTAGAATTATTTTCATATCAGTATATGCCCTTAGTGGCTTCCCCATGTTAAGTTAGAAAAAACAATAGAAATTATGACTAAGGAATAAACCAGCTATAAAATCTTAAACCTGACAACATCCAAAAGGCTAATGTACGTCGCAACCTTAGCACAACATTTCCCAGACACATAGCAAAGGTTTCAAGAGGGGGGGGGGGTCCCCCCCCCAAAAAAAAAAATCTGACAAGCAAATTTCCCTGTGCTCGACCTTACAACGGCAAAAGGGCCGGGGGGGGGGGGGGGGGACCAGCATCTAATGGAAAAATTACTATAGCAAAATACTATACTCAGGAAAGGGGGTGGGGGCGTTCTAAGGGCCTGATTCGATAAAATAATTCTTTAACCCCCAAAATAGAGAGTTATGTTATAAATTTTGAATTTACCTCCACCTAGTAAATTCAAAATTTACAACATGATAGAGTTCCCATGAAAACCTTTAAAGCCTTTGGAAAACCCAGGAGCTTACTCGTATATCTTTGCACATTTCAGAAGAGTAAAGGATGATCAAAAATACATTGAAGTTATTTGACCACTGGTCGCTTTCGACGGATTAGTCATTACTATGAGGTTTATGAATTCTTAGCTTTGTTATGGAAGGTTTTACATTTAAATCCCCAACATTCACTGATCGATCGATCTGTGGACTGTGTCGAATTTCAACAATCCAAGTTGTTTAAAAATGAATGAAAAATGAATGTGAACCATGAGGAATAAATGAAAACACTCGGTTAGTTGATTGATTTCATCTAATACATTTGTAATTAATTCTTTTTTGTGTAATTCAGTTTCATATGTTTTATTAAATCTAACGTCAATATGATCGTTGAATATTACTAAAAAAAGGTACTAATTTTGTTGTTGCTATCTGTGGTGTCAATGGATTCTGTTATTTGTGTTTAGATACGGATCATCATGGAATTGGACGCTGATAAACTTCAGGGTACGTTACATTTATTTAAAAGTATATTCAAATGTATTTTGAATATATATATATATATATATATATATATATATATATAAGGTGGACTTTGGCATAAAGTAGACCGCACTTTTTCTGAGGCATTAAGTAGACATTTTTCATTTCTTTTATTTGAGACATTCTGATTCACACTTTCACCCAAATTTATTCTAATAGGCTTCAAAAATGAAAATTTTACCCCCTCAGCCCTAAATGTTGCTTCCTGAAAAATATACGAGATTTCCGGTCTCCATAATATTTTTTAAATACATTGGAGGTTTTAGGTAGACATGTATATATTTTATGAGGATTCCGAAGGGTTAAAGTAGACCAAGTATATATAATGCATAAAGGAGACCGGAAAATATATATATACATGATTATGTAGACCATTTTCTTTTTTCCTAATTATTTAAATAAAAAATCTCCAGATGCATAAATGTACTTCACATACCAGTATTTATTAATCAATTTGCATTTATCTTAAGCACTTATATTAGCACTTTTAAACCCAGTATGATATTTCCTTATTTTAACTAGAAGGAACTAATTGGGTGATGCCTATTCCTAGATAAATTTTCATGTCCTGAATCTTATGGAAATATAGTAAATGACCGATAGTAATAGTTACGTTAAGAAAATATTTCATCCACCACATTGATTTAAAACTTCATGATGACTTATGGTATAAAATCATCATCTAGGCCACAATCACCTGTACATGCTAGATATGACCTCTCGAAACTATAACCTTGTACTTTTCTAAAAAAAACCCCTGTGTTTTAGAATTTTATATATCCAGTTTATGCCATATACCCTGAGCATAATGAACCCTAGGATAATATGATTTTTGGAAGCTATTTTATAGTGGACAAAAATTGAACTTGATGCAGGGTTGTTATACATCCTCAAGTCACAATTATCCCTTTGCCTTGATTTACATCTAGTATAACAATAATGTGATTGCCCGCTTGGCGCAGTGGTCAGAGCGTTTGCTCTAGAGTAGCTAAGTAAGGACTTGTTCCTCAAGTCATAGGTACAAATCCCACTGAAGGACATGGAGACCGGTTCTTCCAATGAAACCATATAAACCAAATTCCCTTGTTGCAGTATATGCTGGGACAAGAAAAGACCACTCACTGCTCAAAAGTACAGGTCTAAATTTGCAGCCCTCAACCAGCAAGTTGTGGTGTCTCAATACTAATGAAAAATTCTCAAAGGATGTATAACAAACAAATAAACAAACAGAATTATGTGTTTATCTGAATATTTATTACATTTCTAAACCCTATGGCCTTGACCTGTATTAACCTGTGTTAGGACCATACTCTGAGGTTACAATTATTGGTAAGTATTTAATACCTTGATAAAGAGTGACTATGACCTTGTGCAAAAGACATTAATATTTCTTGCCACAAGCTACCTTTGTTTCAAAAGATGTCTACTGACAGAAGACACATAGACTTCACAATTCCAGTAACTTATTTGTTGTTGTATAAAAATGTCAGTAATATTTCCCCATGTAAAAAAAGTTTGTAAAACTTAACCCCTTTTCTTTTCATGCCTAATATCTCTATCCTAAATACACATTTGTCATGGTCACTGTCTACTGAACTCATAAATAAACAGATAATGCAAATATGTGCAAGTCATGTAAAATTTCTTTTTATTTGTTAATGTGTATTACATTGTTGACATTTGTTTTCTGTTCAATATATGCATAAGGACTTCTATCATTATCAATCTTCACAACATTAATTTTGTATAAAGTAATAAATAACTAGTATTTTGTACACAAACATAACATCAATAAAAATAACAACTATAAATATACATGAGAGGAATAAAACAATATTTTGAAATAATCATTACATTTTCATTTCTTGTCAATAAAAAAAAATGAATAGCATTATTAAACTATTACAACATGTTTTAAACCACAAATGTGTGTTCTAAAAATGCATTAGATACAAAGTGAGATGCATTGATTAACTGTTCATTGTTAAGTTGAAATGAAGTTATTACTTATAAAAAATACTTTGCATTAAAAAGCAAATCTTTACATAGTTTATTTAATGAGAATATTCCCTCCAACAAGAAACTGGCAAGCAGTAATACAGACTCTGAAATACCTATACCACCTATTTCAAATAGTACAGTTTGCATTTCATCCATGAGATTATTGACCTTGAAAAATTATAAATGTTTTCCTCTCTTTGAAAGGAACATGTGTGCCATGAAAGGGCTACATTAAATAATGTTACTGCAAGACACACAAGTAATTTTTATCTTGATAAAAAATGACTTCATGTCAATTAAGAGAATCATTTCACACAATATGTGCTAAAATCTCATCTACATGGTGTTGGCAAACAGGTTACCATACTAATACATCCCTGTAAATGAGCTGCAAATATAAAAGAAGAAAGTCATTCAGAAATAAATTTTAAAAAGCTGGCTTAAAGATGCCACATTTGTCAGCTGAAATCCATCTTTCACAATACATTCCTAGCATATAATTTAGTGCGTATCAAATAGTATAATGTTTTTGTTGTTGTTGTTGCTGTTTACAGAGCAAAAATTAAAAGTATATCCATGTACAAATGTAAAAGAGGGCAAAGCAAGAAATATGTCCATAGGACATGAATGCCCAGCTGAGGGTATATTAATTTTTGTTTGTTTATTGTTTAATGTCTCTCTTGAGAATTTTTCACTCATTTGGAGATGCCACCACTTGCCGGTAGAGAGCTGCAAATTTTGACCTATACTCGGCACTGAGGGCCATTAAGCAGTGAGGGATCTTTTTCGTGCCAACACCTACTGTGACATGGGACATCGGTTTATACGGTCTGCACGTCCCACAGTGGGATTCGAACTAGCGACATAAGGATCATCTCCTTACTCCGCGACTCTAGAGCTTTAACCACTGCACCATGTGGGCATATTAGTAATGCAACATGATAATTTTTTTAGTGTATGAAATTTGATGAGAATATCTTAAAATAGTTTCTTTAACATTGAAATAAAAAAAATTGGATATAGATGATAAATTCTCACCAAATTATGTTAAGTGCATAAGTTCACATAAAATTATCTTTAATTAATGGTTTCTTTAAAACTAAGCAAAATGCAAATTTAAGAAAAAAGAGGTCCAGGTCACAGGAAAGTTCAAGGTCAAACATTTTTGATGCAGTTGAATAGTTCTCATTAAGTTTGATAAAAATATTTTGAATGGAAACTGTTTATTTAACACTGAGCTAATCACTATTTCAAAAAAAAATGATGTCAAGGTCAAATGAAAGGACAAGGTCAAAAATGTTGATACAGTTGAACACCTTCCATCAGTATGTATCAGCATATGAAGTTTGACACTCATTTAGGAAAAGTGAGGTCAAGGTCAAAGGAAAAATCAAGGTCAAAAAATGTTGATGCAGTTGAATAGCTCTCATCATTATGTATCAGCAAACGAATTTAGTTTACGCTATCCTGAATGGTTTCTTTAAAACTTAGCTAAACACTAATTTAAGATAAGTAGAGTCAAGGTCAAAGGAAAGGTCAAGGTCAAAAAATGTTGATTCAGAATGTATCAGCATATGATGTTTGATTACACTATCTTGAATGGTTTCTTTAAAACTGAGCTAAACACTTATTTAAGAAAAGTGAGGTCAAAGTTAAAGGAAAGGTCAAGGCAAAAAATTGTTGATGCAATTGAATACCTCTCATCAATATGTATCAGCATATGAAGATTGATAAAAATATCTTGAATAGTTTCTTTGAAACTTAGTTTTGAACTGAGCTAAAAGCAAAGCGGAATGGAAGGACAGACAGAAAATTGGAAGGGGGAAGACGAACATGACAAACTCTATATGCCCCAATCATATTCATGGCAGGACAGAAAAATTTCTCATGTAGTGAAATTCAGAACTGCAGTAATTGCTAATTTGTTTTTTTTTTAATTTAAATTCTATATCAAAAAACATATACAAACTTTTTTGATAAGTTATTCCATTTAAAGCAATAAAAAATGCATCTGTCTGCCTTAAAATTGATAAGAAGGTTATGACATAACTAAAATAATAACCATGTCCACATTTAATTTAAAACATGAGTGACAATTCACTTCACCTTTTCTTTGGCTTTCATTCCATTGAATTTTCTTTCTTTAAAAAATTGTGCTTGTGTACTACTCCATCTCTGAAAAATGACATACAAATGAAAGTTTATGGCACTAAATGAACTTTCTCATCCCTTTCGTTACTGTTCAAGAAAAAAATGCATACTACATGCTTAATTTAAACATGTTACTAGACTTTATTATATTTTCATACACAATGTCACCAACTTTATAAAGAATTGTGCATGCATTTCAAAAATGAGCACATGTGAAATAAATTAAAAGGACCAGTATTTGCAATATGTAGTATTGCGAGTAACTCGCAGTTATCTAACTTACAACCGCTCTTTTGCATGGGAGTCGAGGAAGCTCTAAATCTCACAAGATTTCTGGGGCATAACATTGTTTACAGTGGTGACAATCGAATGATTCGAACAATCATTATGCTGAAACTACAATGTATTGCCAAGAGTTGAACTCCAAATAGTAGTTTGTCAAATAAGGAAAGTTTAAGAGTATTTCATCAACTTTCATAGTAACGATTTTCATTGAGAATTTAAAAAATGTAACATATGAGGACTAGCTCCTCTCAAAAATTTATTAGGCTGGTTCAGCAAATGTTTAGCAAGATATTTCTCCAGGATTTCTTTCTTATCAGTCCTTATAAATTCCAAAAGATTCTTGAGTTTCTGATTGATAACATCTATGTGTTTTTTGATAACAGTGAAAATCACTTATAAGAGTCAAGATCAAATGTCCAGAAAAAAGGGGTTGAATTTAGTTCCTATGTAATGCACGCACCCCAACTTTTGAACAATTTTTCTTACAAAAAAAATGCGTCCAATACATGTTACTTTACGGTATTAAT